TCAGGTGATAAGACACTCTCCGATCTCGTTGTCGACCCTCATAGCTGCTATCTGTTCCCAATATATGTTCTTGATGATACGGTGGTTTTTTCCGTCTATGTGCAGTTGCTCTAGGATGTTAATGATTTCATCGTGTCTTACTTTGTCGAATGCTTTAGTATAATCTATAAAGCACATGTTTTTTCTGTACTTCCAGTGACCTTTCAGTGATGTTTCTCTGAATATATATAGCATTGGCCGTGCCCTTTCCTTCCTCAATACCGCATTGTCCTTCAGTAATCTCTGGCTTAATTTTATTCCTGACTCTATTGGTGATAATCTTCAGGAGTATTTTTGTCACTTGACTTATCAGGCTTATGGTCCGATGGTTTTCACATTCTGTTGCTCCTGGCTTTTTGGGTAGAGCGATGAAGACAGACTTTAAAAGGTCTAGTGGCATCATACCTGTGTCATAGATCTTGTTCAACAGAGATGTCAGTAAGTTGATGCCATATTCATCTAGGGCTAGTATCATTTCTAGAGTGATGTTATCAGGCCCTGGAGCTTTACCTTTTTTCATTTTTCTTACAGCATTCCTTACTTCATCTTCCATAATGGGTGGACCACTCATTTCTAAGTCGATAGTACGTTCCGTGTTCCTCTCATCATCGAAGAGTTCAATCAAGTATTCTGACCACCTCTCCAGAATCTAGTCACGTTCCATGATGATGCCCCCCGTCTTTGATTTAAGACATCCCGATGATGATTGAGTCTTCTTGTTGGTAATTTCACGGATCTTTTTATGCATGGCTCTTGAATCAGATGTTTCTCAACCTCTTTGCATTTTTCAGTAAGCCAAGCTTCTTTTGCTTCATTGCATTTGATGGTAATCTGCTTGTTTAGATGTTGATAAGCTTCTTTGTTGTTCTTAGAAACCCTCCTTCTCTCCATAAGAAGCAATATTTCATCTGTCATCCATTTCTTCTTTGTTGTTCTTCCTACCCTTGGTAGCACTTCGTTTGCTGCATCCATGATCGAAACCTCCAAGCCCTTCCAATGATCCTCGATGGAATTAAGATCCTCTAAAGCACTGAACCTGTTCTTTACCTCTACAGCATACTTCTCCTTTATAGTGTTATTTTTCTGGAGTAATGATATATCTAGTTGTTCCCTTAGGGTAGGTTTCTTTAGTGTTCTCATCTTGGCCCTAAATCGGCCCATCACTGGAACATGATCGCTGTAACAGTCTGCTCCTGGTTACGTTTTGGATGCCAAAAGAGAGTTACGAAAGCGTTTATTAACAAGAATGTAATCAATCTGATTCCGGGTGTGGTCATCTGGTCTCAACCATGTCCACAGTCTTCTTGGTGGTTGCTTAAACCAGGTGTTTCCAATTATCATGTTGTTCGTTTGCGCCCATTCCACCAGCATCTCCCCTCTCTCATTACGGCTTCCTAGTCCATGAGGACCCACGATGTTGTCTACCCTCTCGTTACCAGCTTTAGCATTGAAATCCCCCATAACAATGATGATATCCTGGGATTTGCACTGCGAGTATGCCTGATCTAACTGGGCATAAAATCTGTCTATGTCTTCGTCACTGCTCTTAGTAGTGGGTGCATATGTTTGAATTATGCTGATGTCCATAGGACTCCCCTTAAACCTTGCCAACAGAATGCGGTCAGAAACGGCCCAGTATCCTAGTAAAGCCTTAATGTTTTCGAGTCTGCGATGATGCCAACTCCTCGTTCGTGCTGTTCGCCTCCTGAGTATATGATCTTATGGTTTTCTGATGATATAGCTCCAGCTCCTGTCCATCTCAACTCAGATATGCCCATGATATTGATGTGCAATCTGTTCATTTCCTCCTTGATGTTTTCCAACTTTCCAGCTTTATTAATTGTTCTAGCATTCCAGGTAGTAATTTTAAGCAGATGTTTGTTCTTCAGTGTAGTAGCTTGATGACGGACTAGTGTCACCTGCAGCTCATGACGAACCCTACCGGACGAGGTCGATTCTAGGAAGCTACCCTTCACGTCGTTGTTGCTATTCTCAGTGATGTGTTGTACTGCCATGATTGCTCTTGGGAAGGTACAGCAGTGGTTTCCCGTTGCCTTCTGCCGGTTTGTTTACGGACTCTCCGCTAGCCTTTGGAAATCAATCCTAACCCACAAGGCAGTGGGGTGGAAAATGGGTAATATGCCTTTCCAAAGGGCAACCCAGGGTGCAGTTTAACGTCCTACCCAGGACTAATTATTAAGATATAGATGTAGAAAACTGAAGGCATCAGGGGAGTCTCTATATTCCGCTCACTTTTGACTTTACTATATTTTTATGTATATATATATATATATAAAGAGATTCACACACACACACGCACACACACACACATAAACACACACACACACTCATACACACACACACATATATATATATGTGTGTGTGTGTGTGAGATTCAACATCTGGACCTGACCTCCCCCCAGGTGGCCTATGCCCCTGGGCGCCGCTGACCTGACCTCCC